ACTCCCTTTAAACAAAAAGGAATTGATCGTTCTGTGAGAGACGCAAACAGACGGACAGACTAAGGAGATTATTGGGATGAATTCCCATTTTAGAAGGCACCACGTGTTACCGCCCAAACGGAATCATTAAATTGGCATCAAGGTTTCCGAAACCTTAAAATGTTCAAAGGTCACAGAAGCTGAAACTCAAAACATTAAAGGAAATGGGTAAAGCCGAGAATGGAGCTTTCGGTCCGTGTTTTAATGTGTCGGAAGCAGCATGTTCCTAGAACAGCTTTAATAGAATAGAATCATAGAATATCGCAAAGAACAAAAGTAAACTGAATAATATTCATCGAGATAGCTGCGTAAACTTGTAGCAGCGTCTAATTTCTTGAATTCAAGAAACGTTCCTCGTACTTATAAATATGTACTGGAAAACCAGTTTTGAAGATACACTCAGAGAACTGCATTGAACCCCCAAATTGCTCTATAATGGTTCATTCGAATATTAGAAGTTGTTTTTCACGGTATCCAAATAAAACAAAAATTGATGATACTAGTCTACATAACCACAGGTAGAGTGATTGAGTGGAATGCCGTCGTTATAAAAGAATAATGGAAATTATATCTGATTATTTTCTTACGGCGATCAAACGCTGGTCATAACCAACATACGGTACAAATTTTATGGTAGCAATCAGCAGAATGGAATTACGTAAAAACGTACGATTTCGATGAATAATTACAGATTAGTTCACTCATTTGTTTGTTGCCAATCCGTAAAAGATCTCGAAATCCTACAAATTAAAGAAAATCAAGAGAATATTCATGAGCTGGATTGATAAAAAAATAGGATTTTTTTGGGGTACCTTTTTTCAACACATTCTGTCTGAATGTTCATATTTTGTTTCATCAAACGTTTGTCGTTCCCGACTTCAGGGAGAGGAAGGAAGTGAAAATTTTGTAATATTTGACCAAAAACTTACGAACAAGCATAACGAGTGAGCAGGTGCATTATCTTGATGCAAAAGCCATGAATTGTTTTTCCACAATACCGGACGTTTTTTTGTCGTATTGATTCTCACAAGCAACTTTTTTTTATATAGCTTATTAAGCAGGCATTCTGACATACATATGGTCAATTTGATAATTAACTTATTCGACATACCTAGGCACCGTACTTCCAAATTTNGGTTGGACGATAGCAAGTGAAAATCGATCGTTTAGACTAGGGCTTGAACCACCGACCAACACGGCAGTCAATTCGAGTGAGTGAACAAAGCACCAACGTCGAACCGCCTGGCTACCGACCGACCTTGTAAACATTTTGTGACTCAGAGTACAATCACCGTATGCCACTTTCAACGTTTCAAGTGTACTCAATTCCATTTTTCACATAAACTTTTATGCGAATTCTCTGATCAATTTGAAATTGATAGTTATATAAACAAGAATAGAGATAGTTCATTCCAAAGACTGAGGCATCAGACGAATGGGAAAATTCTTTTAGTACAGATAATACTAATAGTTTATTCGATATATCAAATTTCGAGTTTATTCAGTTTATATTATTATTACTTTCAGTTTCAACTTTCAACTATGAAATCTTATATAAACCGTTTCATCATATAAATGTTTTTTTTTTCATTTTTTTGTTGGTGAAATTGCAAAAACATACATATTTTTTTGTATCAATATCAAGATGGATGAGAGAATTCGTCACTACGGAATCAAATTTCACCTTATACGTAATCTACCATGGTGCATTCAAGTCCATCCAAACTACCCAAATAAAAAATTACAAGATGTTTATACATGCAATGCAAAGTTAATGACAACGCACGTAATTAGATCGAGTATGTTGTATAAGCAACGAGTAATGTTGAGATAATCAAAGAGGTTCAACAAGCCAATTGAAAAGATCTTAATCTTCTAAATTACACAAACGGTGAATGCATTCTTGGAAAGAGAATGACAAGGCCAGAAAAATACCACGGAAAATATACCTCGAATTAGTTGAGTAGCAAAAAATAGTACATATATAAGTAATAAAAGAGAAATGACGTTTCGTTTTCTTTTGTTCAAAAAGTAAACATCTGTTCGTATAATGCAATAAGCTCCTACTTCACAAGATGAATGAAAGGTAGGTTGTACTTGAATATTCATCGGGTTATAATAGTTTGTAGGCAACAGTGGAATTTATCACGAAGGGTGTATATTGACTAGTTACTACGTAGTAGATTACCATGGGAATACACAATACAAGTAGTAAATAAATACTTATAGCAAGTTTCATTTCTCATTTTTCACGTAGGATATATCTGATTACTTTCTTACGGCGATCAAACGCTTCTTACCAACAGTGAATTAACTGACAGCGATAAAACTGACAAGCATGAAATTAACATCTGAGTGTCTATTCTTGAATGATACGTGACTCTCAGGGCCTAGATGTGCAACATTCTCACAATTCAATCAATGTCACTTCTCTAATCAAATTAAACCAATGAAATAAAATATTCAGATATGACAGATTATGACAGTGACTAGACCATAACTCTACTGAGACAACTCAAATGAATGTGTGAATCGATTAAAACTCGCCAGTACAATGAACAGATAGATACAAGAGACCAAAATGAAAAACTAATTGCATCAATTTACTGATTTACAATAACCTGACGAAAATAAGAAAACGTTCCTTCAAATTGAAACTCCCCTTGAATGTACATATGATAATCATAAATTTCAATATCTTAATCAAGACTCATTGGTATAATAAAAAATGTTTAATTCGAATCGAAACATTATTCTGAATAGTAGTAAATTCATCGAAAACGACGTACAATTGATCCACCTAGCTATGTCAAATAAGTCGGGTAACTATGATGCCGGTTCTGCGGTATCATATCAAGGCACCATAGATTTCAACAATGAACTTCACATACTCTGTTCATATATTCGAACATTCAGTCTCTAATAATTGTACATTCAAAAAAAAAACTGGTTCTGCGGTCTCATGTCAAGGCACGATAGATTTCAACAATGACTTTCACGTACCCTGTTCATATATTCGAACATTTCGTCCCTAATAATTGTACATTCAAAGAAATGCTTGAAATTACAATTTTAATTTGTTGAAATTTTTTGTGATTCTCAAATGAAATCGCTATTTTGTTTTTATATCGATGCTCTCAGCTGAGAATATTTCAGAAAATAATTTTTACGAATATCACTCGACCTAAAAATTTTCTCAGATAAATGTCCATTTTTAAACGCCTTTATTACACTTCAGCAGATTCTTTATTGATCCCAAAAACATCAAGGTTTGGACAAATGAAAACGATAATGTAATTGAAGTTACCTATTTTGCAACATATGTTCGAAGAATAATTGTACCCAAGCATGCAATTCAGTACACATAAATGGAAGTAACCCATGAGAATTAAGGACGTTTTTCAAGGATTCAAGGCTTTGTTTAGAACTTAAAGGAGAAACTTATGAACATCTATTGAAGCATAACCTTCTGCTTGTACTTCACTACCATTTATTATTATTATGCACCTACTCATGCAGAGACGTAACAATATAAGTTTGTAAAAACGAGTCAGAAGTGGTGGAAATTATTCAAGGTCATTCAGAGTATTTAGAAGTGTTCTTATAGGTCCTTTACAAATCGAACACTACACGTCCCTACCGATCTCAAATCACACCATATTTTCTTCATTCTACCACCTCTAAACGACTCTCACCAATTAGGTCGATGATTTTCATCGAAACGCTCGATAATGCAGGAAGGTCAGCGGGATAAATCGGGGTCACACGGTATCACTTATTCATTCGGAACGGCAACTCCAAAGGAAGCACCTTTTGTGTTTGCTGTTGCAAATTGTTTCGTTTTAATGGTTCACCTCAGGATGTTTGAGGTATATACAGTTTCGTAACGGTCTAATTCGATAGAGATAAATTCCAATAGTTTGCGAAGCGATTCGAGTGTTCGACGAAAAAATATTTTTAAAGACAAGGAAGTTCGCGCAATTGTTCTCTGACAACTTCCGCAGAAATATATCAAATATATACGAAGCGTTTGAAGGTGGAAATTTTGATATACCTATACCTTCTAGTTCACAGTTGAGACAACGAGAGAATACACAAAGTCATCAATAATATACGCCATAAAGCACACACTTTTGTTTCAACAAGTGAAAAAAGTAGACCAAAAATTTGATATGTATCTAATCAGGAAGAACACTTGTTTGGATGATAACTTACACACAATATAGAGGTAGTTATAAAAACGCGAGTCGTCGATAATTTCGTGGGTTTCGAGACTATAACTATTGACAATTTGATATTGTTATTGTGAAGTTTCTACGGTTTGAAGACTTTTATATCCAACAAATGGTTGTTTTCGCAGTAACCGTATTCAACATTTTAACCTCATACTGGGAATGGCTCTGTCAAATGTTCCACATAATAGAATAATTAATTTACCAGATATGGTAGTTGAAAAATGGAATTCAAAATATACTGTATTAACAGAATCATTAATAAAGTACTGATGACTTTCATGAAACTGACTGGAAATCGTAAAGTTGAGTTAAAGTGAATTTCAAAAATAAAAGCAATTTTTCATCAAAAGGTTAGGTTAGTCGGAACAATAACCACGTCATTTCGTTTTGATTACTTTGTTGATTAATATCGGATATAAAATTGATGACGCATGTGTAATCTTTTGCTGTCTCAAATGTATATGCAATTATTTCATATACATATGGAATTCGCGATTTCAAATTTGCAGATCCCTAATTAAATCAAAGTTGGAATATTGATCAATATTATATAATTAGGCGTAGAAATCAGCTTTGAAACGACAGTGTTCATTATAATGTTATCATAGTCAGCTTTGGGTTAATCTGCACAGGATTAACAGAAAACCCCTAATGTGAATCTATGATACATTTTTAGCAATCTGGAGACAATTTTTTTATCTCAACTTACTTTTGTTTCTTTTACAGCAAATTCAGAAAATCGTGCATATGCAAAAAGGAAAGGACAAACCCAAACCAGTTCAATAAGACAGGTACCAACTGGTATTTTTCACAAAGTGGTCAATGTTATGAAAATACAATAATCCTTACAATTTTATTGTTAACACAGAAACAAAATAATTAAAACTGCAAACTCTTAATTACATCCTCTTCACTCGATTCGATATTTTCGATTTATTTTTCGATTAAGTTACTACAAGAAATGGCATTATATCATAATATTATTTATTGTTGCTTTTACTATTGACATTATTTTTATATTCCCAAGTACCTGATACTCCTTTAACATCCAGATTAATAATGTAACTTAACTGAACTATTCCAACTTATTGTAATATAAATATTTTTTTCATTTCGACAAATCTATATTTTTTATACGATTCGAAGTTAGTTTTCGTTATGGAAGGTTAACTACCACTCAGTACCTATGTATTACATATTTGGCGAATATTTTTACGGATGGGTTATCGGGTGATATCACCCCAAACAGATGACATCAACCGATAAGGGCCGTCCCGTTCCTCCCTAGCTACCAGAAGATGATTTTAGTTACTTGTTAATAAAATCTCAATTTCCATTTAAACCTAAATGGTCGATCTTGATTTCTTAACAGGTTAATAACTGCAATAACCTTAATCACATATAGAATCTTGATCAACTATTTACTAAACATTCATATAATTCGTATATAATAATAGATTAATATAGGGGGATACCTTGTACCCGGTTAAGTACCTCCACCAAATATGAGCCCCATATATAAGACCGCATGTGAGGGATAAAGGATCAGATTGGTAAAAAAAAGTTGATCATCAGAAATTCTCGAACGCGTCAGATTAGGGTAGGGTGAGTTAATTACCTGCTAAAAAGTGTATATTCCAGTAATCTGACAATTTGAGAGTGACGTAAAGAAAGGGGAGGGCAGCAAAGTTGTAAAAAAATAACGTCATTTAGACATTCTCGAGCGTAGCTAATTTTTTTTCATTTCGAAGAAAATAATTCAAAGATAACGAAAAATATATAATCTGACGATTTCCGCTAGCCAAAATAACAAAAATTCGTCGATAAAGTTTGATGCGCGCAGCTATGCGATACCTATATTTCCCTCTCCGAGTTTCTATTCCTCTATTCTCTATTCACTTTGTATCTATCTATTACTCTCTCACTCCGTCCCCAGTCTGAATTCTGTTGCCATGATCACAGCTAATCACAGAGACTCGTTCGTGATGAAGATGATGATTAATTAATCAATTAATTTATAGATGTAGCCATTACTACGTGGTAGTAAATCATAATGAAGAAAAAAGTAATTAAACTTTCTATGATTTTACCACTTTTATTTGTAAGTAACGTTACTGCAGTTTCGTCCTTCAAGGACGTTTTCAAACTTATACAATATATAAGGACATTTTCAAACTTATACTTATACGATATATAAGTTTGAAAATGTCCTTATAAGACAAAACTGCAGTAACGTTAGTTACAAATGAAAGTGGTAAAAAACATAGAAAGTTTCATTTCTCTTTTCTTCATTATTCAATCAATTGATTATAAAAAAATTAATTTTTTTGATCATTTTTTAAAAATTATCTTCTTATAAATACTACTATCTACTTAAAAAACACACACTTATTTATTTGCTTTCAATTAATTAAGTTCAATGAATTTAAAAAAAAATTAAAATATTGTTTTTGTCAGATTAAGCGAATCCCTCTAGATAATCGTTAGATTATGAGACAGCACGTTTAAAACATAAAGATGAACCATATATAGCTTAATCTGACGCGCTTGAGTATTTCAAAATGGCGAATTTTTTTTGCACATTATAATACTGGCCGTGAGTTTGCGACAGATCGAAATCGTCAGATTATTGAATAAGAGCTTTTTTTTGTTGCACTTAACACCCCCTTAGAAAATCTGACGCGCTCGATTAATTTTTTTCTTTTCACTTTTAACGCTTACGTACAACCACCCACATCATGCAAACGATCAGATTAACATACCAACATTATTAAAAATACGTAGGACATTGATGCTATCAATATCTGACGCGCACGAGTATGTCTATGCAACAGTATTTTTTTTGCATATTTTTAAATCTATAGCCGCTTCCCCCAGCGATGAAAAGGTATATATTATAAAACATTTTTTTCTTCTTATCATCTAAGCTTTGCAACCTAATATGTCTCAATGACGTTCGAGTGAATTCCCATTTTGCTACGTGGGCTCTCCTGCTATAAAGAGCACAATCCATAGACATACTCACGAATTATTTTGGACAACAGTAGATTGGTTTGTGAGACCAGTGTGTAAGTAGTGTACTAGTGCAGTCTATAGTGAGTACCTTAAAAACTAACATATGGGCTGAAAACTACCGGTCCTAAGAAAGGAAACGCGTTTTTTTTCTTATTCATCAACGTAATCTCCATTAAGAACACAATAACTTCAGTGTCGCTTCAACATTTGAATATCACTTTTGTAGAACTATTTATCTTTCGCCTCAAAATAGGCCTCAGTTTCAGCAATAACCTCTTCATTCGAAAAAAATTACCGGTCAGCATTTTTTCGAGGTCTGCGCACAGAAAAGTCGCTAGAGACCTCACCTAGAGAATACGGTGGATGCGAAGCCCATTCATTTGCCATTGTTTTGATGTTTTTTTGCAATTTCGCCCTTCTAACGCTCCAATAACGTTATATAATATTCACTGTTGATAGTATTTCTTTTCTCAAGATAACGATGAATATAAAACCACGCACTCCCAAAATACTAAGGCCATAACCTTTTCACCTAAATATCGAATTTATTCCATACTTTGCGGACACACTGTATACACTTACTAATTCAAACAGATATAGGCATCTAATAATTTCTTCCATATGTGCGAGAATTTGTCGCAATATCATCTATAATCTCGAAATCATGAATGGATATGAAACTTCTTCATGCTGGTAAACAGCACTGGTACTTGTTCTTAGGTTTGATTCAATTAATTTAATTAACACTCATTAGTACTCTTGTAATTCCCGGCAGACATCACCAGACTTCGTTTAATTTATTTTTAGATTAGGTAGACGTGCTCATATGAATGTGAGCATTATAACGAAGCTGCTTATAATGAACAGTTATCCCGATACCTGGCTCTTGTGGATTGTGGTACACAGCTTTACAATTAGACGGAAAGATATTCATGATCATACTTGAACTATTTCAAGTTTCAAAATATTCTATAATGAAAGCAACAGAAGATGAACGATCAAAATATAATCAAATAACCAAGGCCGTTCACAGGGAGGGCTTCAAGGGTCAGAATGTGATAATTTCATTTGATTTTATTCCTTAGTAGTTTTTTTACTAGTGATGAGATAATTACTACTAAAAATCCTTGGCTGTCAGAACAATTTCATCAAGAATTCTGTCAAAATGATTATTGCTTTGAAGGAGAATATTGATTCAAATTTCCTCGAAACAAAGTGGAAAATTTTGATCTCCATGTGTAACACAAGATACATATTTATAAAGTAATCCTGGAGAATTTGAGTCATGATCCAGACTAAGATACTTCTGGGAAAGCAACATTTTTTTACAGTCGATCACCTCCACCCAATTTGTTAAAAGCTTATGTTTCTCATCTGTTTTATTTTCACACATTATCCATCATCAGCTTCAGACCATGTTGATACAAACCAATAATTAGAAAATAGGTGGACATTCAGAACATCTACAGACTCATTTTCGCATTGCAGTTGCAATCCAATTTCTTAATGATTTTTATGTCGGTACCATTGTGTATTATTGAAAAAAATGGATCAAAGAAATTGCATGAAATTTTGTGTAAAAAATGGAATGAAGTGCTCAAAAGCACTTCAAATGTTAACATTAGCATACAATCTGCAAAAGGTTAACAAGTGGTGTTGAAAAGATATTGATCAAAGAATTCGCATAAAATTTCATGTAAAAAACACGAATTCCCTTAAACGACCAATTTTTCAAATTTCACTCCCTTATAATTTTTT